CATCACATCCTACTTTTATCCATCTTATCAAGGGTATTTTGGAAAATTAACACAAAATTATCCCTCCCTTAATTATTTCAACTTTAGTCAAAACGTGTAAATCTTTTTGGGACGGAGATAGTATTAAAATACTACATCAGAAGATCTACAAACCTAGTAGTGACAATAGTGCTTTATTTTATCAAATTACTAACGAAAATAGAGAAAGAAAGTGAATGAAGTTTGACTTTGTGAATAGTGAACATGCACTATAAATTGGGAAGGAGAAAGTATTTTTTATTGGTGTAGCAAATTATAAATAAAATGATTTCAAACGGCACGGAGTTTTACCTCGTAAATCCTAATTTGTAATCAAATTTGGACGGAGGAATATGGAGTACTCCCTCCGTCCCGGTATATTCGTCCACTTTTGACTTTTGGAACTGTTCATCTAAGCACTTTGACTCATCAAATTCTCTCAATGTGTAAGCCTAAACTTAGTCATGTGTGATCTTGTTTGATTTGTCTTTAACATATAGATTATTAATATATAATTTCTGTAATTTTTTAATATACAAATTAAAAGATAAAATGAATTAAAGAAGTGTATTGGATGGTGTGTAAAAATGAAAGTGGATAAATACTCTGGGACAGAGGTAGTATATGTTACTTGAGGTTGTTTTCTGTGTTGCTACTCCTTGACGTGTTGTTGATAGTGAAATTTGCACAAAATTGCATTAAAATATACATCCTTTCTTAATGTGGTACTTAAACTTTTTTATTTTTTGGATATTTAGTTTGAACAATGTCCGATAACTATGAAAATTAATTACTTGAACAATGACCGGTTATATTGGGAAACAAAAATGCATGATACTACATTAGAAAAGTCATTACGTTTAAATACTATTTAGACAAATTATCCTTCTTGATAAATAGTTTCTAACTTATAAATTGTTTATAAGTCAAATATTTTTTCGTGTAAGTAAAATGACATAAATGGTAGATAATTCATTCGGGAATATTCATAAATGGTGAATGATAGTTTTGTAAATAATATAGTTAAAACGAAGAAACAAAAAAGTTAGTTTAAAAATAAATAGGTAAGATTTATTTATTTTTTTTTTATAAATAGCTTATAATCACAAAAAAATATAGCACTAGTTGACTGATAAGTTAAAAATTGTTTATAAACAATTTTGATTAACTTATAAGTACGGAGGAAACACCCACTTATTATATCTATAATTTGACTTTTTTAGTCAAATAGTATTAACTTTGACCATAAATTGTGAAATAAGTATATTTAGTTATAAAATAAATCTCATAAAATTCAGGTCATTTTTAAAAATAATTTTGATATATCAAATATTTATAATATATACTAATTTAAACCTATATTTAATTTATGGTCAAACTTATGCATAATTTGACCAAAATCCCAAATTGTAATAATTTTTCGGGGACAGAGGATGAATCTTAAAGTGTCAGAGCACTGGTAATGCATGTAACGCCCAGTGGCGTGACTGCACTTTTAACGCCCCAGGGGCGTTAAACACCGCCCCCCTGGGGCTTTATCCGGACGTGATTTTGATTTCGTTAAACCTTTAACGGGCGTTTTGCCCATCTTCATCAAATTAAAAAAAAACTCTTCCTATAAACACCCACAAAATATTTTCCTCTTCAATTTATTCTTTTTAAAAATAAACCTCACAAACAAAATCTTTCTTCTTCAATTATTTTTAAAAAAATTAAACACCCACAAAATCTTTTCCTCTATCTTCTTCAAATTAAAAAAAAAAATATTCAATTTTTTTCATCTTTTTTAACATGAATGTCTTCATTTTTTATGTTCATTTGTCCGGTCTCGAGTCAAATGACCAATTGAATATAATCTACTTTAGAGAGAAGACATAACGAGATCAAAGCTTAATATAATTTGTTTTAAGTATTTAATTAATGTAATTTTTTAATTAAATGTTCTTTTTTTGTTGAAGTTAATTATTTTCATTTAATGAATTATTGTCGTTTAAATTAATGT